TTCCAAGTGAATTCTTTCAACCTGGATTATGGAATTCTTTCCTAGAGTAGGGGCATATAAAGGTCTTGTGCAAGAAATTTTGCAAATTCAAATATTCAGTGGCCATCACGGGGTGGAGAGGAACGGTTACGGGCCATTTCTACATGTTAAAAAAGTTGTGCAGATGGCTTATTTGGTAAAGTGTGGTTGTTTTGGCAAAGGGAGAAAAGTTGCCTCAAGGGAGAAAAGGCAACTTTTCTCCCTTGAGAAAAGTTGCCTTTTCTCAAGGGAGAAAAGTTGCCCTTTAGATGCTAAGCTATGCCATATTTATCATCAAAGCTGCCATTTATTTCGTAATTGCTAACAGATTTTGTACGGTTTTGGACAGCTAAGCATACACCATAATGGATTTTGAAATAAAACATTTCAGTTTTTTTAGTTTTGTGCACAAAGCGGCAATGAAATGGTATTCAATAACGATTTGCAAAAACTGTCGTCAATCCCATAATTATGGATGTGATCAGAAAATCAAAGCAATTGAAAACAACAACACAAATTTTTAGCTTATGCAGATTTTTTACGTATAAAATTTCGAAATGGAGAATCAAAAATCAAAATGTCAATGCTCAGGGGATTCACTTATTTTGATGGGCAAACTAATGTTTTTCTTCTTTGAGGAAATGCTAAATGAATGACAGTCTTTGTTCGAACGTTCGGTGAAGCAGTGCAGCGGCACCACACAGTAACGATTTCTGGCTGAACATGAGATGATTTACATTGAGCCATAATCTGGTCTCGTAAACAGTATTTCTTTCTACCAAGACAGGGTTGAAAATTTCCATTTGTTTACTCTCTCATTATACGAAGCCATACTTACCTCTAAGTAAACGGTATGTACAATTCGACAACAAATATTGCAGCATTTTCTCAAGTTTATGATCTATTTCCTATCCCTAACTCATGATCGCTCAAATTTGAAGAAAAAACAAATTTCGTACACTTTTGCCAAGTCATAAAATTTTTTGAATTCTGGCTACTGTAAAATTCCGTAGCATAGCGTAAGTGGTACTGTATATTTTTCTTCAGGTATAATTTCTCGTAGTGTACCTACTTTTCTGAGAAAGAAAGTGTATTGACAGACGGTTTAATAAACAATAGTATGCCTAAAAATTTCTAGAAGAGATGATCACGCCTACTAAGAGCAGTAAGAGCAAAGATTCATGAATTTGAATGATGTCTTCTATTCAAACATACAGGCTGCTGCATGACGAAGGCGCAATATCTTCGGGCGCGAACGCGTCTTAGCCGCAGAGCGCATGAGGAACAGGATTTACAACAGCGAGGATAGGCACGCGTCGCGTTCGCGCACGCTCAACTAATACTGCTTTCGCGCCTTCGTCATGCAATAGCCTGTAGATTGATAATTTTGAGAGAAGAAGTGCATATTCTTGAACCAACATGTGAGACTAACTATGAATTCATTGAGCACAGAAATACGGGATCACCGTCTAACTGTTGGTTGACGCACTATAAACCCACATTTTATAGAAAAACCACGTACGAGCTCCACAGTTCTATACTGCTATCATCTGACAGTGCGTTTTTTTCATGTCCGACTTAACCAAAAAAATTCCCGCAGTGTATATTGAACATTCAGCTTATACTTTGTTTTCGCAGTATTCCTTCAATTCCCCCCCCCCCCCTCCCTCCGTTGGCTCAAAGCTTTACAAACTTACTTAGCCAGGTAAATATTTGACGTAATGCTTTTTGTATCGGGGGGGGGGGAGAAGAAGATACTAGCCCGAGAGCGACATAAGAAAGTTATGCATAACATCTAGCAATTAGAAATCATATTAAGCTCTCAGCACAAGAGGGATTGAGGGTTTGAGAAAAAGCAAAGGAGATGAAGATGATTTCAAGGTACAAGTGGAAGCTTCTTCCCCAACATCTACTTGTCACTATCTTACCAACTCCTGATTACGCTTCAAAAAAAGGGAATAGCTATCGAGGCAATTTTATATATAGAAGCCAGAAACCATAACCCGTTTGCTCAAATTTTTGGGGATTAAAATTATTTATCGAATAAATCAAAAAGTGCCGGTTAGTTTTATTTTCCCAATGACAAGCAAAATTCGAAGGATTTTTTTTCGCAAAAATTGATTACGTCTTCAAAGTGTTTTTAATGCCCATAATTTATGCCAACAGCACGAACTTTTTGAATAATCCCTTTAATTTCAAAAAGACATGAATTTTGCATTCTCAAAAAGTGCAACCGCGAAATGAATTCTTCTTTACAACTTGGATCCAAAAATTGAATGTAATCTTGCTTACTCATCCTTTTGTGCAATGGAATAAGAACCAGTTTTGCGTAGCCACATGTTGACTAACCTTCTAAAACTTCTTAATTTCTTTAAGATTCTCAAGTACACACGGAACTGATGAAGGATACAGTGGAGCAGGAACAAAGTTCATTTTTGCGTACATAGCAATTAGATCATAGAACAAATTTTGCTGTGTATGGTAAACATAAATCAGTCCGACCATTTTGTATATAGTGTAGCTATTTTTCACTGTTCGCGGCTCGAATCTATACTCTGTAGGATGTCTATTTAACGAGAATGTAGCCAAATTTACTAGCGTGTGATTCTTACCACTTATTGAATAGAAAAGGAGAAAGATGGTTACATCTAGGACTGATGTTAATTGAGTCAACTCAACATCATTGCAAAATAATATTCATTGTTATCTGAAGCTGTAGCAGGTTTCGAATCTGGGGGAGAATATACACGGTGTTTAGAAAGTACCTGGCCTCAAGAATATTCGATTCCTATTTTATAGCGCTTTTTGTTTTATTGTGCTCACCAAACCTGGACATTATCAATTCAGCGAAAATCAGTTTTTTATAGATTTTTTTGGTTCTTTGTTAAGTTGGAACACACCCGATACAGCTTTCCATGCCTTGTTCATTGAGATGCTTGTTACAAAGAAGAAAACATATTTCAAAGAAAGCTTTGTCTGCACCATCTGAAAGTTCTCTCTTTACAGTTTGTTGAGTATACTTTTATTTTCTTAGGATTGGATTCGCTCTGGGATACCTACCTTGAAAGAACAAGAAATCCAGTTACGGATTTTTACGTCAAAAATTCAAGCTCCAAAAATTTTTATTTTATCTTCAAAAGCTTCAACGCTTGCAAAATTTTTGAAAACTAATGCAGGAGAGAGTTATGCTACAAATACACATTAAAGTAAGGCTCCCAAAAGTTTTTGAATCAAAAAAATTTCAGCGCAAACTTGTACGCAGACTTGTCTGCTGAATTTTAGCGACATGAAATGATCTTTGTTCGCAAGCTACTGGGGAACTTTTGTTACGTAAAGAAGTTATAGACTTATGTAGGAGCTTTTGTAATAGGGAAACGGAAGGTTGTTTTTGTTTTCCTGCGCCGAAGAGTGGAACAAAGCAAATAATGCACTTTTCAGCCTCCGATGGAGACTGAAAAGAATGGTTACTTTCAGATTTTCTCGAGTATGTTAGAGTAGAAATTTTTTTGTTGATTTAGTGGTCTCTAGGTTTAGCGAACACTTATAGCAAAAATCGAGTTACTCGCAATTGAAGCAATTAAGGCCAGAAACTTCTGAAACGCCCTGTAAAAGTCATTTCCTTTTCACCTCTATTTTGGTTGCTTTTGAATCTTCTTGATCTAAGAGTACATCTCACCTGCTGTCATTTATTTTACTATCCCTGAAAAATGGACATTATAGCCAAAGAAGCTTGACTAGGTTTTGTCTATTTAGAATTTTTAGCAATTACTTCTAATATTTTTTGATCAAAAATGCTGAAAACTTTTTGAAACAGAACTTGTTGTACAAGTGGACACGAAAAATTCTCATTTTTGAAATGCCTGCCTATTTTGTTACGAGGGGCTGAATTGTTCTTTCACTGAAATAGTATTCTGCCCCATGATGACGCTACTGTACACATAAAGTCTGTGTCAGTTACGTACTCCGCTTTCGCGTGAGAACTACGCATGCGCAACGCGAGGGCCTTGCGTGCGGACTTCTAGTCGATGAGGCAAATCCAATTTGAACGCCCAAGCCATACTTGCGCGAACGTGGCGTGAATCTCTGGCGTGGCAATTGCGCTTACGGAAAAGGGAAAGCCCGATTGACACAAACTATAGATGGTGCAGTCGACAAATCAACCTTCAAAGTCAATTCTTTACAATGAGTCAGTTTCAGAGTTGCCCACGTGTAGACCCTGTGTCGGCGCCATTCCAGCGTCGTGCCGGGACCGACGTAAACATATGATTATTGATCGATCAAGCCGGCACGTTGCTAGCACGGCTCTGGCACGGCAGCTATAAACGCTGTTACAGCATATATTGTACAGAGGTATCGTAAGCCAACCTGCATAAAGCTGTAGATCTATAAAAAATGGACTCTCAAAAGGCTGTCGCTAGAGTGCAAGATCATCTACTTATGAAGAAAAGAAAATCAAAATCTCTTTGGAAATGATGGGACAAAAGCTCCGAAAGGAACAAGCGACCGTCACAACCGCTCGTCAATGCCGAATGGCAGTGCGCAAAGGCTTTTTATTCATTTACCAATCGTAAGGTGCTGACTCATCTACTTAAAGGGCACATTTATTGAGAGAAAATGAGGCTATGAATCACATTAAAAGTATAAGTGACATCATAAAAGGAAAAATCATCAGGATACATCATAAAGCAAATTTTCCAAAGGTATATACAAAAAACGAGCACAAAGACAAAGATTTATGCGTATGTTCTGATGAGAGTCATGCAAAGGTAGTGATGAAAGTCTTATTAAAGGGCAGGCAATGCAATTTGAACATGAGCACACTATAAAGTTATTAGAAAGCTTTTAAAAATTTAAAAAGGCAACGATGGTGATTATCCGGAAGAAAAACTGGAGAAAGGCTTGGGCAATCAAGGATAAAAGGATAATAAAGGGGGGAGGGGGCAAGAATAGGACTCTATTTATATAAAATTCATATAGTAGTGTTAAACTCTTCTCCGGGTTCTTGACTGAGCGTAGTTTGTGGGCACCCAAGAAACCCAATTACCGCTCTTGTCTCTCTTTGTGTCATGGCTAGCCAAAGGATACTGGAAATGTCCACCGGATGGGTCAGTTTCAACCCTGAAAAATTTTTTTCAATCTTGTTCAAAATCCATATATTGCAGATGAATCATTAAATATTGTTCAGCCTCGTTTGCTTGTGAGAAACCGTGCTGTGGCCATATATTGAATATCAAAATGCAATGCCGTCCTTTCTAAGGAAAAAGAAACATCAATAATTCCGGAGAAATGCAAAACTTTTTTGATATTCATCTTCGAAAATTGTATTCTACCTCTCCTCACGTTCGGAATCACATAAACAAATGGTTTATTATAACATTATTCTGCTACTTAGCGGCCCTTTTCATGGCCAGACCATAAATCGTATCGCTTAGATGTCCAGCTGAAAATTATCGGGAAACAAGTCTCGGGTTTGAAAACACTTTTTTTGCTATAATCGATCAGCTAATTTACAATGATAATCACTGATACTCGTCAAAGATGCGATTGAACCAACAAAAAATGTTGAGATATAAAATTATGGTTTTCACTAGCAAAATTTAGTACGAGATCGTCTCAAGGTTTTTATAAGAACTGAATAAGGATCTGACGTTCTCTTTCGTAATTTGTGTCTTGATATCTTGTCCATCATAGTCGACCAAGGAGCACTTTTTGAGACATCGAAAAAAACCGAAAATCCGTCGACCAAACATCTGTGAAACATTGGGAAAAAAGACAAAACTTGCTGATGATTGAGTAAGCGCTAAAGGAATGCAAACACCTTTTAGAAAGTCTAGTGTTTTGTGCCATTGTTATGTGAAAATGTCTAAGCGCTTTTCTATAAGTTTATCTTAGTCTATAAGTTTATTTTTAGTTTTTTTTGTTTAGTTTTATCCATCTTTAGGGCAGGGCATACTTCACGCGATCTCAGTCGGGACGCGATTTGGCAATTCGCTAGAAGTCTCCAGATCTAACACGCGGACTGATAAAATGCCCTATCTTCTATACATTTGGAATATGCTTACAGTGAGTTATGAACAGTTGGAATATTGCCAAATCGCGTCGCGACTAAAATCGCTTGAAGTAGGCCCAGCCCTTTTGATTAGTGACTGGGTGTTTTGCGTCACCTGTCAGAAGAATATGAAGACTTTGCTTGGAACTTGTCTGAGATTTCATCCAAAGAACGAGAAGCTCAGTAATCATTACCATTATTGATCAACATTTGCTTACCTAAAGTTTCTCCACTCTGGAACGTACAATCGGAAGCAGTCCAGTCGTCGCACTCCAATCGTACTCTGATCTTCATACTTCTCTTTTCGTACCACTGCCCAGTCGGGAAGACAAAAGTCATAGCAGTCAGAGCAAGAGGCATCTGAACAAAATCAGCACATTTTTGAAAGATGACATAAGAAAAGAATAGAAAGGCACCTCTACTATGAACCGCTTGCTTCAAGAAATACCACTTGGCATTGGTACAGTCTTCGATTTTGTCCGTGAATTTGGAGTTTGCGGCAACCGGCTCTATAGGTTCTGCGTCAAACTGCCAAAACTCTTGCCATCCAAAATGTGCTTGGATCTGAAACCATACATGTTCAGTCGTACATGTTCAAGAATATTTTTTGACATCTAAAAAGAAAGTGTTTTCAATTTTCCGCTTCTCTTCAGATCTTGAGTTTATAAAGGGTGCGTCAAAAGTCTGGGAGCCCAACTTTGCAGTACTGCAATTACAAAGATACTGATTGTTTTGATTTCAACTTCATGTCGCATGATGCTGCTGTCCTTCTCTACAAAATACATTTTACATAGTTGGAATGGTTGCCATATGTTTCTGTAAGATTTGAAATTACCAAACTGGTACTTTTGCAGGCGAAAAAACCAGAATTTTTAGTATTTACAATTTTTGCTATAGCCAGAGATGCTGTTAATGTTTTACAACACTTCGATGCACACAATATAGAAGAGGGTTCGCGCTATAGAATAGTAGTTTTGGTTTTGCCAGGAGCTGTTCTTGCATAAACGGAAAATAAAAAGTTTGCGATTGTTATCTCGTGCCGGTGGCCATCCGTTTTCGGAACAAATAAAAGTTATAGAAACGCAACAGGCACTGAAACCAAAGCTATAATCTTAGCATGCGCCTTTTAAATAAGAATTTATTGAAATTCGGTCAAGGAAACACTTTTTATACCTTTTAAATGATGATTTTCCGCTTCCTTTCGCGCAATTGTAGCCAAATTCCCGATATGCGACGTACACGTGGTTCTAATTGAAAATCCAATCTTTTTATTCCTAAGAAATGCAAAAAATTCTTTTGGAAGTATGTTGTAGACAAAAGTTTGCTCTATCACGCTGCGCATTTGTCAAGATAAAAGAAGCAGTTATTGTGAAGGCGTGGGGCGAATTACCTTACGACTACCTGCGTGCCATGACAGGTGAACTTGCCAAGATTTTGTAGGGCCGCATGGAAGCCAAAAGAGGCATTTTTAAAATTCAAGACTTGAGCTGTATCTCCAATGGTTCGAATTATGTGTGGGCCAAATTTTTCGTTTCTAGGTACTTCCCTTCGCATTTTAAATGAAAAAGTACTGGGCTCCCAGACTTTTGACGCACCCTGTAATTCATTTGAAATGAGCTACGCACGATTTTTTCCAATCATCCAAATTTTTATCTAATATCTAAAATATCGTCATTGGCTTTTCATAAAGGGGCTATACGGCGCAATCATGCTGATCGTAATTATATCACTTGAACATACCGCACTTCTCTCATTCTCTCATTAAGGTTGCGGTAGTTATACGGTAAGGAGTTAGATTTGCTAAATGAAGTTGATCTGTATTCACGGGTAGCCAGCCTCTTAGCGAGACTATGATCAGAGTACACACGACAAGAACACTTTTCCCGGATTACGGTAAGTCACCTACCCGTCTACAGTAATTTCACAGATTACGGTAAGTCACCTACCCGTCTTCAGTAATCCTTTATAGATAGTCCTGCAGCGCATCATATCATAGTTGTACCAGAACGCCCTGCTCTACTCAGCATTGATATTTTGACGTGTAACTGCTTTAGCGCCACTACCGTATCTTCTTTTAACAGGATATTGACTTCATAAACGTCATGATCTACCCCTCCACCAAGTTTCAACAAAACTTATTTCAAACAGTAGGGTGTAACATTATCTTTTGATCCGATTAATCCTCATGCTTCTACTCACTTTTGAGGGCGAACTCGTAAATTTTACAAAACAGGCATTTACCTCGTAGTCACTATCACTAACAGCTTCCTTCAAAGCATCCATACTTGGGATAGCTGACCGATCCAGTGGCATAATGAAGCATACCGTATGTCGACCATTCGCATCCGTCAAGGCATGATCGGCAATGGCTATGTAACCCTGCAAATGCAGATTTTCCTTCGCAGTAGTGCATTTGCAGAATTTCTGCAGTGACTCACCGTTTGGAAGTCAATGGCAGTGAATGAATTGCTCTTAAATGGCGAATTTCCGCGCAATTCGAAGTGCGCTTGTTGTGGAGAATAAAAATGAACGAAGACAGACGATGGCAGCGATGCTGAGTATCCGTTCGGATCTTTCCGACGACAATCGTCACAGACTGGTGGATATAGTAAGAATTCGCTTACCTAAACCAAAAAGTTGAAAACGATGAAGTCTATGGAAAAATGTAAAATGAACTTACAGAATATGTATTAAACAAAGCGTTTAGAATAATTCCTAGAAGGATGAAGAACAATAACAACAGCAACAGAATACAACATAAACTTGCGAGTAGACGTGGAGTAAATTCACGTTCTCTGAAAAAGTTTTTTTTATCATCTATTGTAACGCAGATGGCTCAATCATAAATTTCATATTATTTGCAACTTCCATGTTTCCTAATGAGTATTGATTTTATTTTGCTCTCAACCCCAAATTAGCAAGTTTCTCGAAATAGTATCAGGCTACCTAGGATGTACAACATGTCAAATTTCCATCTAATGAACGCTTGTACACATTTGAATTGAGTTTGAAAAGCTGTAAAAGATGGCACGCCGCGCGCCTGTCTATCGTAAGCCCCGCCCACGACGATACTTGTTGCAATTTGTCCGGATTATTTTGGAAAAAAAATACGAAGCATTCAAAAAAAATCATGTCTATAAGTCAACACTCTAGGTTTAAAAAGGTAAGGTGTTAAGATAGTTTCTTAGGCGTACATCTTACATTTACGCTTAGCAAATGGGACACTTTAAAGAGCATTTTTCACACTTTACTTTTCCAAAGTAACCCTGAATGACCTAAGTCCTTGAAAAACATCTCACCGAGTATTACGATAAAGTTGTGTGAGGTAGTCTTTAGTTCGCTGCCACCAGCCACCACCGCGTTCTTCTTCTTCTCGTCGATGACTTGAGCTGCGAGTCACAAGAGATGTCTGCGATTGAGGCTGAAACTATGTATTGAAAAAGTCATAGAAAAAGAACATGCTGCGCTAAAATTTGACAGCACAGACAACCAGCTGGCAAATTACGAAACAATTTTGCACAAAAAACAGGAAGAAGAGAGTCTTTCCTTTAGAAAGACCCGGGATAAGTTTCACATCTAAAAAAACACAAAACCCAAATGCAAAAATACTGACATCGCCACTTACTGCATAGGATTTGGAGTTTTCTACCGATCCCATCAGTTCGTCAGATTGCTGCATTTTTCTGTAGCTGTCTTTTCTGACGAATGCACTGGAATAAGAAATTATCATGAAAATTTAAATAATCAAGTTTGCAAAAGCTTGTGATTGGGAGAAAAAGCTAGAAAATTATAATTATCGTGAATTTATTTGTAAAACATGCATCTAAGGCATATTCACTGATGCACTGTCAAAAAATAGAGAATATGAAGAATTACGAAAAACTCATTCACTCGAATGACCAAATGCAATTAACATATCATATTAAAAATAATGGCTACAAAGTGTAAAATATGATGAATAAAATAAGATGTAAAAGATCTTCAGAAACTGAGATATGTATAAATGCGGGAATTACAGTACGATCAACATTACGGTATCGTGATATTACCGTATAATAAGTACATATTTATTATTGAGACACTTTCATCATATGAAAATACGAAAATTATATCAAATGCCGAAAAATGGAAAAAAATGTAAAGATATTATAGTAACCCTAAACACTCTATAGCATTACCTTCTTACTTCCGTTGCAGACATTTTAGACGAAGAAGAAAAAATCGAACGGGATGAATCGAAATAGGGGCACACGCGCGGGCTGAAGGTTTATTTGTCCAGTAACGCTTGACGTCCGAACTTTGTGCGGGCAATCCTCTCTATGGATCTTGACATATTCTTAGGCTGTTTACATGACAACCAGCACTTTTTTAAAGACAAGTGCTTGTGGAAGTTTTTTGTGTTTTTTTTGTGAAGTCTCGATTAGCAATTTCCATTAGGTGATCAACTGCAGTGGGCTTCTCATAAAAGATAGCTTGCTAAATATAGTGTAGCTGCATTATTAATGGGTGGGACAAGGAGGATGAAGGATAGGGGGGGGGGAGAGAAAAATTTATGAAAGAGGTCCTTTTTCATCTGCACAAACTCTAGTGAAATAAGTCGGAGGATCGGGCATCATAAAACGGAGCTTCTAGTTCTCGAAGCCACACATTTCTGACTACCATAACCTTAATAATCCTGCTTGCATCATTTTTGGTTATTATTGATCAATCAGCTGCTTCTTTCTATTTCCGAGAAATTTTTTGCATTTTTTTCTAAAGTACTAAAAAAATTTGAACTTACTCGTGATCGCTCTGTTGTATTTGTCGCCATGAATCTGTTCGAGCGATTTGAGGTGAAGGGACGGTAAATACTTGACTTTGTGAAGAAGTTCGCAACACTCCGGACGGTGCCCTAAAAAAGAAGAGATTTTTCCAACAGTGATGTTCATATTTTTAAAAACAGATCTTTCGTGTTTGATTCAGAGAAATCAGCATTCCTGTTCATTGTGTGTTACCAAGGTAATTAAGCTACCCAATCTCTTTCACTTTTCTAATGATGTACCCCTCTTCCAACTTGCAATTCCCGAGAACCGGAATTTTCACATTCTCGCAAGACTACTGTCGTTTTATAAGTATGAGCTTGCACGCAAAATTTCTAGAAGCTGAATTTCCATATTGTACTAATGGAGTTGCAACTTCGAATGCAAAAACTTGCACGATGAGTATAGAAAGCTTAATGAGAGCGCAAAATTTAGAGGGGAGCCCACAAGCGCCAAAGTACTCACACTCAAGTCTGCTTTTGAGCTGAATTTGAAAAAGCTCAGTTTCCAACATTCTAAGGGAAAGATGAAATGAAGAGTTGCCCGTGACCCTACACAAATTGAGGACGGCAGCTAAGTCGTTTTTACATAAAACCAAGCTAAAGCAGACTTTTCAAACGCTTAAAAAACTGTGAAGTACATAAAAGCAATTTCATTTGTTACCATGAAAGAATTGGTAGTTATGTTAGTACCCTTCAATCTCAAAGTTTGTTTCTTTTTGTACCTATTTAGAGAAGTAAGTTCTCATGTTAAACATTTAGCCCTCACGGCAAGTTCTTCAAAATTGGATTTCAGTTCTACGAAGACAAAATTCATGAATAACGAGATGACTAATAGTTTAAAGGCATACTTAACACTTTCGTTAACACTTTTGTAGTATCGCATATTACACTTTACGCATACTTACACTCCCTAATACCCACTTTGCAACCGGTATGTATCCCATATGGTCTCGGGCGAAACCATTAGCTGGACGTGGAGGTTGTGGTAATGGCCGTTCGACCACCTCTTCTATCCTTGTGCTTTCCAATCGAGACGTTTCCATAATTGGTCCACCGCCGTGTGTTTCAACAACGCGGGCACCGCCTTCTAAAAACCACTCAAAGAATCGAAAAAAAAGCTGTATGGAGAGAATCCAGAGAACATGAAATTGGGCAAAAGAAATGGTACAAATTTTTCAAAACAATCATTGCGCTAAAAAACTTACCAGACGTGTGAATCTCATGCACATCATAGCCATAGTTATTGACAACGGTATTTCCGGAGAGGTCCCCGAACTCGACCCGCTGACCCGCTCGACTTCCACCGGATGTGTCCAACTGTGGCCCGGATGTATACAGTCGGCTGGCGGAAGTATCTAATCCTTGCCCAGAGCTATAGAATTGACTACGGGTGGGGGTCACTTCGATCTGTTGACCTAAATCTGCGAGCACTTGGTAGACGAATAATTTTGACAATATCAATTTTCTGGAAAAAAATTAAAAAGTAATTTCTATGAGAAATGATTCGGAAAAATTTGCCAAAAAAGGGTGTTGATTGTTGAGCTAAATTCCAATGAATAGTTACCAAAATTTGGTGGTTTTGTGGAAAACTTACTTGTACCTGTAGATATAACTGTAATTTCTCCTTCTTCACTTCTAAGAAACAGCTCAGCTTAGGTTCAAGTACAAAATACTGTAGGATTACGGTCAAACTGCAAATTTTCAGGAGGTATTGACATGCTTCAAATTGAGCGGAATGTTATATGACAAAAGGTATTTCGTTAAATTTCAAATTGCTGCTACCGAAAACCGCTACGCCCCGCAATATCCCCTTCAGTGGTTACGGTAGGTGTACTGTAGCCGTGAATTTTTTGTCTTATCGCGGAGAATCAAGTTCGTACCTATACCTTTATCGCATTTAAGAAGACTAACATCTACTAGGCTGTTGCATAAGTTCTGTCCGATTTTTTTGATTCATGTTTGAAGCAGCTGTTCTAAGAGAATTTCATCTCTAATTCGATACGGTTGGTATCATTGAAAAGTGCTTTCCTTGCGCTTTCTAACGCATATCAGATGTCAATAAATTTCTTAGTGTACGGAGATTTCAGGCCTAAAATCTCTAAGTGGCCGAGGTACGTTCTATCCCTAGAGATATGTCCTTGCGAGGAAATCTCCACAATGCGCCCTTCAAGTCAGGTTCTTTCATTGGCTTCGGAATAAGGGTATGGAATGCTAGTATATGCAGAAGTTCGGTCCCATGAAGAATACGTCTTGCTAGTGAAATTTATCCTCGAACATAAATCTTTGGTATAGATGTTTTACAAGCAATAACTTTCTGCGAATAGAAGTAATCGACAAGCTCAAAGTTGGAGGTGCTAGGGCAAAGCAAGAGCTAACGGGGCCCATCCACCAATTCCTTTTCGGCGCTCACGTCAGTTGTAAAACGTTCGTAGTTCATAAATAGGCATGCACACATGTGCTGAAGCGAGGTCAAAAAATGGCAAATTTTTTGTTCGGTCAAAAAAATCTCTCGGCAGCGCAAACCCTATGGGCTCTTTTATGTTGCATAATAATCTACGAAAATTTCTCTATCCATCCATTATTAGAAAAGATGCCTATCAATTTTCATAAGGGAGCGTTACCATGTCAAAAAAGACAGATTCGAAGAAAAACGCTGCGAAGTTTTTGCATTCTTGGTTCTTCCTTAACAAAGATTTGCGCAGATCTCAATATGCATTTTTTAGCCAAGGGACAGCTCAACACATAGAAACTAAGACCTTGGAAAAAAGTTGACTCTGAAAGAAGTTATGACATTTTAAACTCAAAAATTCAAATCGGACAGAACTTATGCAACAGCCTAGTACATGTCCATTAACATCTATGTGTTCAAGTCTTTGATACAAGAGGGATTTTCATTCAAAAACATTCCCATTTTTCGCTTCTCCTCCCAGCGTTACGGTAGGTGTACTGTAGCCGTGAAATAGCTTGATCAATTTTTTTTGCTTTTTATAGCCATGGTGTAACATAGAAGATCTAAACATTATTCAGCAAGTCTATGGTCCCTAGTAAATATCGCTCCTTTTACAAGGATTCTAATTCGGTTCATACCAACGCCACAAAACCTTCGTGTGCCTGTTTGTATTGTTCTCAAGAGCAATAAAAAAAGGTGGAAAGGGTTCTGCACTTTCAAGAGCAAATCAAATACATGCTGCCTGTCGGGCAAAAAGATATTTTTGTCTGGTCAACTTACAAAAACAAATAATTTTTTTAAAAGAACTCACTTGCTGAAGTGTGCAGAAATGACGCTTCACGGCTAACATCTCGCTCCCCGGTAAAGTCATACCTGGAACATTTTTTTGATGCAAACAGCGAGGCCATAGCCACAATCCTAATTTTAGCGGATATGGAAGGGCACGCTTAAAGCGACAACACGTGCAAAGCGCAAGCAACTGGAAGCCCCTCCCATTACCGCGCTATCCCTTTTTTCGTGTTGAGACCTGTACTGACCAATAGCCATCTTCTTGTTTCAAACGCCAAAAAAGTAGGCGGAGCGTCTGTTTCGGAAGTTGTTGCTATCCTTACTATCTATTCCCCCCTCATATGTGCAGTATAAAGTGGATACCTTCGATCCAGAGGGACATCTCTCGTTTCATAACTCTCTGTTGATCTTCGTACGGTACTGTACGGCGGTAACGCCCCTGCAAGATTAGCTGTCCGTAGTTTTACGTAAATTACGAAACGTAATAGCGCAATTACTGACCGCTGGATCCAATAGCACCAATAGCCCCAGCAATTGGACGTCGTCCTTCTTCGACTATATGATGTTCGATCACTTCGATTTGCTCAACGGAACGATGTGGACGTCCGTCCATTCCTCGAGCTGCTCGGGGAGTGCTCAGTTCTGCTGAGTTGTCTGTTCAGTCACAGTCTGGAAACTGGTAAAAATTAGAAAATGTTTTGAACAAGCTGGTAAAACCTTATTACGATGGGATACGGTAGCTCTGCGATTATATTATATGAGTTACGGGCAAGTGAGAAATGGCTACTCATATACATATTAGCAATATATATTATGAAAACGAAAGGAATTCAATTCGCAATAATGAGCAGTAGGAACTTGAACTCGGAACTTCCGCGGAATAATCATGAGTTCTGCGGAAGTTCCGAGTTCCTGCACTACGAATTATCTGCACAGTACCATATATAACTTACTCAGGAACATTCTTGTCCTGATTTTATCTCTTAGATTTGTAACGCAGAAAGAAAAACTTTTCACCTGTCTCGTTTCGCAAAATTGATTTTGGTGGAGGCTGCGAACCTTTGGGTCTTTGGGGCCTTTGGGTTTTGCATCGTGCATAAAAAATTTAAAGAAAATGGAGATTTCCAAAATTCTTAACTTTTCCTCTTCAATATCTGAGACGAGCACACCGAAACACCAGGGACTAGACTTTCTGTGGAATGACATGAGTTCAAAATTTGCGGGCGGAGTTTGTGGCAATGTGTAAAAATATTTTTTCAGGATTCCTCGAACATACTGGGAAAAATATATGGGGATTGAAAGTTCCATGAAGTTTCGTAAAACTGCTAAAAAATTTCGGTTCGCATCATAGGCAGCTTTAAAAAACGATCATTTCTAGTTATTTAAAACACATCCAAACGAAAGTAGAGTCAGAGTTTCTAAGAAGGTTTACTAACTGGGAATTTTTCATAGTAACGTAAATATCTTTTCATGGAATGCTTTTTTGACATAAACGCAGTGAGGAACTTGCTCTGAAAGTCGGGATCGAGAGATGACCGATTGAGATTGTATAGAATTACTGTACCCAGGGAAAGAATCGTTTTGATGGTATAATAGCACAAAAGCAACCAAAACGAGAAAGTTACATAAAGAAAATGTTTACCACCACGATACGCACACTGAAAGCAATATATAAAAAGCAATGGAAAGTTCTTCTAGCTGAAGCAGTAACGATAGCCCCTGGTATGCACAAAACCAGTGTCACAAGTAAGAAGAACCAGTTCTTTCCATTTACTGAGTGATGATTCTATTGTTAGTGACATGTGGGAAAATCAACAACACCTGTTCGAAATTTTACGATACCCCATAAAGGATAGTGAGGAAGAGACAGTAAAAAAAATAACAACAGCTTGAAAAGCGAAGTCTAGACCAATAAATTTGAAATGAGTGTCATTGAAAGGTGCAAAAAGTGCAAGTTCGGTATTTTGTTCAATTTACATTTATAAAAGCTGCTGCCTGACGAAGGCGCAGAAGCAGTATTAGTTGAGCGGGTGCGAATGCTGCGCGCGCGTATTCTCACCGTTGTAAATCTGCGCCTAATGCGCTCTGCGGCTACTGAAACCGCGCTCGCGCCCAATAAAAATGGCCTTCGTCATGCAGCAGCCTTTAGAAGTTTAGAAAATTAGTCCACGAGAGGGGGGGGGGGGAGGGGGCGGGATTAAAGTGAAGCATGCGAGTCTGTCAAGGAACACTTTTACGAAGCTTCAGATAATGAACAGTATTCTATTTTTTTAAATGAAGTATGAACTTAGCAAAAAGATTTTGCGATAATATTTTTATTTCTATTAAAAAAGTCTGGGAGATAAGGGAAGGTAAATAATAGATAAATGAATAAACAATAAACAATAAATAAATACGATTGTCTCAAGAAGATTCTTATCAAAACTCCTAACAAAACCCGGCAAAATTCTTTGATTTTTTTTTTTGGAGTGTGAGTTCAGGAAAGGTTAAGTGTAAAATGCACATCTTAAATTTATTTTTGATCGAAAAAACTAAATGTAGTGTCGCAATTTTTTGGAAACCGAATCAGGCTTCCACTAAACTTTCCTGTTTCACACAATATTCTTATGAAATGATCATCCCATCACAGCGATCGCTTAGCTCATCTTATATATAAAGCTGAATGTCTGTTTGTCTGTCTGTCTGTATGTCTGTCTGTCTGTGTGTACGTATGTTCCGAATAGAAAATTCCATTTCTGAACCGATCGGGACCAAACTTAGCACACATACACTTCGGGCCCCGGCGGGTGTCATAGGCTACTTTCCGTCATCGATCGATATCGATTTTATCGATTTTTTGCAAAATTTGAGCTACGTGGCTGGGAGTTGGCACAGGGAGGTAATCGAGCATGCTGATCACCTCCGTGGGGGTGATCAGCATGCTCGATTACACCCCTCTGCCAAATTCCAGCCCCCTAGCTCAAATTTTGCAAAAAATCGGTAAAATCGACATCGATCGATAACGAAAAGTGGACTGTGACACCCGCCGGGGCCCGAAGTGTATGTGTGCCAAGTTGGTCCGAATCGGTTAAGAAATGGAATTTTCTATTCGGAACATACGGCGGAGCCGGGTAAGCCAGCTAGTTTTCTATGAAGAACAATTCTAGTGAACCAGTGATTGAAGGTGTGCTAGATTACATCCACACGATTCGGGGTCGCACCGTGGTTTCCCGCTATTTGCAGATTTTTGAATGGAGTTAACGATTCGTTAAATATTAGATCTTAGAACTAGATAGGTTTAGAATGGTGAAGCTTCGATAATTTTTATCGCAAAATAAAAACCATGAGTATTTTCGGTTTCAGGTAATCCTTATCTATTACGAAAGCATCTGGATGTGCAGTCTGTGAGTTCAATGTAAAGTTCTTCTACCTATGCAAAAGAGGGAGTTATCTCTGCTCATTACGTCTCTTCAAACAATCGCTTGTCACTGCTAGAAAAGTACTATTTATAAAAAATCAAAAAACAAATGAATTAATAATTGGCAATAGTCAGATCGTTGCTGTTTCGCGAGAAAAAAATAAGCCTTTATAAAGAACATAAGAAAAATCAAGTCAAAAATTGTTTTTCAGTTTGAACTCTTTATCACCTCAGTGGTTAGTACCCTTGGTGATGATCAGAGATCACGCGCGGGGGAGACGCAGACACCGTCGCGGGCGCGAGCGGCCTTAATCAGGTTACAAACCCCACCTTCCAGCAGCCAAGCCAGTTGAATTAAAGTAATAGCTGAAGGTTAGAGAATTATTTGTAAGCATGTAGCCATGAATATGTGGAAGAAAAATACAGTAATCTTTCTACGGTAGCGTAGAGCAGTTTGTCTGAATACGTTGATTAAAGATTTTTGATTTATTTAGTTACATGCGCAAGCCCATGTGGGCAATATGACCAAAAAAATCAACGCCGAAATACAGGGTGTCCCAAAAGTATGTATGCACTCTTTGATCGTTAATATCTCTCCTCCCAAGAAGTCTTTTGCCTTGCTTCAAGTACCGTTTTGTAGAGCTGGCTTCAACTTAGATTTCCATTATAAAACGAATCATCCATCTCTCTTCATTACTGTAGAATTACGGTGGAAACTTGAAACATATGCTGTCAATGTGGAAAAAACTGCCGATTCAAAACTTTTTCAAAAAAATGTGAAAACTTGTGTGATAGGGTTTCTATGGACGCTGAGTTCAATACTCAACTATCCACAAGATTACAAAGCTTTCTAAACAGTGTAACCGCACTTTTTTGGAACATTGAAAAAATGGCCGCTACCTCTCACCCGGCATAACTCTTTAATGAAGCATCATAATAAGTTGGAAACTTTACAGTTAGAATCAGCAACTCTAATTAGCCTAGTGTAAATGCTTTCAGGCTGTTTTGTTTCCTTTCTGAAGCAAAATATGGCCTTTCATTGCTCAAAAGTTTTCAAGTTTCTACCGTAATCCTACAGTAATGAAGAGAGATGTATGATTCGTTCTATAATGGAAATTTAAGTTGAAGCCAGCTCTACAAAACGGTACTTGAAGCAAGGCAAAAGACTTCTTGGGAAGAGAGATATTAACGATCAAACAGTGCATACATACTTTTGGGACACCCTGTAGTTGAAACGACACTTGGAAATGAAACTGAAGAAGTAATGATGGGCTTGAATCTGAAAGAGCTGTAGAATCTTAGCAATAAAAGAAAGCCAAAATATATTTTATTATTTATTTCAATAAGTAGAAGCAAGGTGCATCAAAAAGGAAAGAAGATCAAAAAGAAAGTTTAAACAACGCACGGGACCGGCCAGATCTCAGAAATTAGGGCTAAAAAGAAAATAAGAATGGATAACGAGACAAGCCATAGACCCACATCTATTTATCTAATTATCTAATTTACTATAAGACGTTCAATTTTTCCAAACAAGGAGACTCTACACCCAAAGACAATGATTCAAGGATTCCGTGCAGGTAAGTATTCTAATCTTCAAAATGACCTAGTCAGCCCTCCTTCCTTGCTGAGGAGTTCGGGGGAGGGCTACTAAACATTCTTCATCTCCGTCTAAGGGTAGGAGCGAAACAAAGTTTTGATTTTGATTTTTATTCTCTAAGTACTACATCTGAAGTTCTTGGTCCCTAACTTTTGGTTAGTTTAATTCAGTTGTTTAGTAGTTTCGGCATCAAATCGTATATTGTTGTGTCGTTTGTAAAAAAAGAAGAAACGTAAAAAAAACTGATAACATCTTGTGCTGCCAAACAGATGACACAGCCCTAATTTCCCTAATCTCTTGGCAAGTTTTGGACAAAGCATAACGATAAAAATTCAAAAAAATTGTAGAACTAGTGTTATACAGCACAATTTAGCTGACCTACTCGTAACCTTAAAAAAGAGCATTTTGTCAAATAGATACGGTACTATTATCGAAAAATTACTGCCCCTACCAAAAATTGTGTGCGACTGGAGGGACATGTGATTGCTATGGAAAACCTGCACAGTAGCGGGAAGGCAGTTAAGGTGTGAGGGTCGATCGGATCGTTTCAAGGTCTCGTAAGCGAGTAGAATGGGCTTGAAATAACGGTTTTCGAGGTTTAGGAAGCTTTGGAATGGGT